AGCGAGGCTTTTGCATGAGGGCACAGAGAGAAATCATGCAGCAGCATTAAAAATGGATTACAATTGGGGATGTCAGCTCTGCCAGCTTAGCGCTGTCTTCCGCAGGGGTAGTTTTAAAGTTAGATGTTTTAATTCAATCTGTGAACAAATTATTTAAAATATTATTTATTATTTTTTATATTTTTTGCAGAAAACAAGCAGTGGGGCTTACTCTAAATATCTGGGTGGTAGAATAAAGCCTTGATTTTTCTATTCAGTCTGTATTCCTTGCAAAGAGATTCATTCTCTCGTGGGCCTTTAAATATATCTATATATATATATATAGATATATATATATATATATTATTGATTTCAGAGAGAAAGGGAGAGGTGAGAAAGATAGAAACATCAATGATGAGAGATTCATTGATCAGCTGCCTCCTACACCCCTCCTCCCCCCCCGGGATTGAGCCCGCAAACCAGGCATGTGCCCTTGACGGGAATTGAACCTGGGGCCCTCCAGGCTGCAGGCGGAAGCTCTATCCACTGAGCCAAATAGGCTAGGGCTCTCATGGGCTTTTTAAGCTGACATCTTATGTATTCTTATTATATTAAATATTGGTCTAAGATAACCAAAGGTGCTATAAACAATATAAAATTTTCCCAAATGCTGAAAATGCCCTGGTTTTAAAATTTCTTCATCTTTTGGGTTTTATCAACAATGGACATCTCTTCTCTGAGAAATTCCCTGAGGCACCACAAAGGGAGCTAATGAAGAGTGTCCACACCATCTGATAAGCCCCGGGCTCCCAGGACCACACGGTTCCTGTGTGCTCCCCTGAAAACAGTACCTTGCTTTGACCTTCCTCACTTTCTCCTTAAGGAACAGTTTTACCTCCGTAAAAATGTCACCCAAGAATAGGCTGCAGAAGAGGCCATTCATTCAGAAATTGGGAGGGAGGTTTGGGAGAGGGTAAGAGAGTAGGTATTTTCCTGAGAAGAAGCTGAAGCAAAATGATGGCTATCGCTCACTCTGTCTTTAGGGAAATGGGCCATTTCTCCACTCACCGCCTGAAGATCTAATGAATACCTACAGTGCGCATTGGAATTCTTTTTCATCTGGGAGCAGACCCTCTTCATTATTCTGTGTTTGGTTTTTTAAAGTTTTTTGTTGTTTTTTTCTTTGCTTATTTTTTACTCCATCTCATTGCTGTCCTAGCTATTGCTTGTATCTCGGCAAGGTTATTTTGAACCGCAATGACCATTTTCTGCTGTTACTGCTTTCAGTTGTTAATATTATTTGATTTGGAATGTTGGTTACGGATGTCTTATTTTGTGTTAAATGAGAGAGGTGAGAGAAGATAAGAGACTTTTATTGCTCTCACCATGTGCTTTTATCTTTTTTAAAAAAATATATATTTTATTGATTTTTACAGAGAGGAAGGGAGAGAGATAGAGAGCTAGAAACATTGATGAGAGAGAAACATCAACCAGCTGCCTCTTGCACACCCCCTACCGGGGATGTGCCCGCAACCAAGATACATGCCCTTGCCCGGAATCGAACCTGGGACCCTTCAGTCCGCAGACCGACGCTCGTACCACTGAGCCAAACCGGCTTCGGCAATGTGCTTTTATCTTATGTCAGATTCCTTCTGGCACAAAGGCTGGCCTGCTGTGGGCGCCTCACTTTCAGTTTTGACAGGGTGGATTGCCATTTGGTCTCTTGAAGAGGAAGAGGCATGGAATGGCCTTTTGGTTTTTTTTGAGAGCCATGTAAACTGTGACTTTTGCCTTGTGGGGCCATCTTAGACTCATTATTTTATCTTTTTCCATTTTATTTTGTAATACTGATCAGGAAATGTGTGTTCTTCCATTCAAACCGTTTATGTAACTAATAAATCACTTATTTGTAGTAGGCGGGAAACAGACACATGAAAGAATCTGTGTCGGTTTTATTGCTGCGTTACTTTCCTCACTGAAGTGTATCCTGAAGTTTTTCTCACAGAGACCCTTATACTTTACAGTTCTCGCTTTTGGAAAGCAAAAGAGAATTTGGCCATTTGACAAAAACAAACATTCTTTTGCTCATTCTCTTTTTTTTGCAGTAGGCATTAGCTGCCACTTGTCTTCTGGAACCCAAAGTCGGCAAGATGATGAAAACAGTGCATTTTCATGCCCATCTTTCTCAACTTGAGCTGTGTTATGCCAGTTTGGTGGCCAGGTCCCTGAGATGTGACCACACATTTGATAGGCAAATCAACTTAACTTGTGGTTACATTCTGGGTTGTTCTCAGCCGTATACCTTCCAATGCAGTCCAGTCCTCTGTTACAGATGGAAACGTAACTGAGGGTATTGCTTGGGCAGATGTACGGTGTTTATTGTTCCATGGCAATAAATATTAATATTTTGAAATGCTACAGAGTTGACATTTAGAGCAGTAATTGCATCTCTTTTGCCTGTGACCCAAAGTAAGAAGTACATTTTATGCAATAACCCACTTCATACATACACATAAGTTCATGTAATTGAAAGAAGAGTTCCACAACACAGTATTTACCCATACCAAATATCTCTGTAGTATTCTATTCCATTTAAAAAATTGCTGATTGATTTCGTGATCCAATGATGGGTCCTGACCCACTTTTTGAACAGCACCGTTGTAAAGAAATGCCAAAAACTTTACTATGTGAAGTAGGAGGACGAAAGGAATAAATAAATAATACAAGCATTCATGTACTTAAATTGCAGGCCTGCAGCTGAACATGGACTGTTCATCATTGAGTAGGTCTGCAGAAGAAGGCGTGGGTGGGAGCCGTGAGCAGTTAAAACGTGCTTGTTGGCAAAAAGAGGGACGTTAGTGATGAGGAGCTCTGAGGGTCACAGGCAGACAGATCACTGGCATCTCCGCATGGAAGGATGGGCCTTCTCTGTGACCAGGGGTCTTCACTGGGGCAGGGATCCCCACCCAGTGAGAGAAGGCACCTCTCTTCCTGCCTAGCTCACCTCTCCAGAAAACCCATTTATGATAAGTTCTGAAAGTATCTATCTGGGATGAGAGGTTCTCACAGGACAGTTGGAAGGAAACGAAACAGGTGGAAAAGGGAAGTTGAGGAAGAGACCTGTGGGAAGCATGGGCTGAGGCAGGTATTTTTCTGCCCAACTCTTGAATTTAATTTGTTACTTTTCTTGTCCTTGTAAAGAAACAGACGGCCACTAGATGGTGCACAGATCCAGCGGTATTTGACTATAAATTTTAAGGTTCTTTTCAAAAGATAGCCACCAAAAATGTTTTGTTTTGTTTTTAATAAAATGTGACTGATAGCCTATTTTAGTATTCATTTTAGAAAGGAATAAAGGATGAAAAATTCAAATTCTCTCTTGTGGGCTCTTTGTGTTGTAGAGAAAGCCTAATTGTTGAGGTACATAATGGTAATGAATATTTTAAGGTAGGAAATAATCTGCCCAGAGCAATATCTTCTCCTTTTTCTTTCTTAACTACGACTTAAAATATAATTTCTTAAAAAAACGTTTAGAATTTTCTTACATTATGTTGCTTTAAGACAAATGTGCCTATTGCTTTGCATTTGTGTTTTAATGGTGTGTATGTGTATGTGGGTTATATGTAGACATGGGTTCAGTCAAAAGAACGGGATAGGCTGGTAGTTGATTGGGAAGGGCAGAGGAAGCCAAGTGAGGCGGTGGGGCAGTTGGCATAGACCCTACCACCCCAGCCAAAAAGAAAATAAGACCAGACCTAATCAGGTAGTGGTTTTCGCCCTCCTGGCACCCTCCCCCGCTGTGATAGGTGCTTCCCATAGCAGCAGCCGCCATGATAAGGTGCATCAAAGCACAGTCTGTATCTGCTCTCTGTCCAGGACCAGCATTCAGTGATAGTGGTTCCAGAGCTTTGCTTAGCAACTGTGACACTAAAGCTGAAGACCCCTCAGGAAAGGAAACTCATAAGAAGAGTTTGTTGACTTGATGTAGTCGTGTGTTGTGAAGGATATAAACAAAGTCCTTCTTTATCCTTCATTAAAATCCTTCCCATCGCTTTTGTCTGGCTCCCCTGCCATGGCCAGAAGCGTGGCCACAAGCTGCCCACTTTTGCATGGACAAACGGGGTCCTAGTGTATGTGCTCTGGTTTATTGATAAAATCGCAGTGTAAGCAAGTGACCGTGGGCATATTAAACCAAACGGGGCTGTCTCCTCCTCATGCCACTTGTATTAAACAAGTGGCGGATGTCATCAGGCTTGAAATAGGGAGCGCATGTGGCAAAACCCCAGAGCAATGGTGAAGAAATGAATTTTCAGGTATCCCAGCCATTGAGGAACAAGTGAAAACATCCAGGCAAGTAGATAGTGAGGCTTCCTCAATGTTAGGAAGAAATGGAAGAATTAATTGAAAGCAACAGAGAAATAAACATAAATAATAAATAAATGTTCTAGGCATGAAATAAATGGCCTTTTCATTAAAAAGAAAGAAAGGTAAGTAGGTAGGTAGGTAGGTAGATAGATATCCAGATATCTAGATAAGGAACATTACAGGCACTGTGGCTGGCTGCGTAGCCAAAGCTATGTCTATATCTACCCTGTTTCCCCGAAAATAAGACCTAGCGCATGGAAAGATAAGACATCCCCTGAAAATAAGACCTAGCGCAACTTTGGGAGAAAAAATTAATATAAGACACTGTCTTATTTTTGGGGAAGCAGGGTATAACATGAGCCATTTAAGACTTGAAGGACACTCCTGACTGTTTAAAGGACATGAGACTTTACACTACTGTTTCTTGGGGACTTTACCTTCTGACAATCATCATGTGCTCCCAGAATGAAAGAAATTAGGAAATGTCTACTAAAAAAATCTGCTTGGATATTTTTTGAGTTGAGAGAATCTTTTGAGGGTTAGGGTGGGCATGATGGAAGATATCCATAATGGTACTTTTTCTCCCTTACAGTGTACTCCTAGTGTTTGGAAGGTTAATTTGAACCTAAGTTGTGTCATTTCTCCCCCTTTCCTAGGGCTTCCTAAAGAATGAGAAGGACAATGCCCTGCTGTCGGCTATTGAAGAGTCCCGGAAGAGGGTAAGAAATGAGCCTAAGTGTAAATGCACAGCTTGGTGAGGGCGGCCTTGGGTACCGGGAGCAGGTTCTGGAAGCTGGAGCTTGTGCCCAAGGCCCAGCACTCCTCCCGAGACAGTGAGCTCACTAAAAGGAGTTCTGCAGGAACTGATTTGCAGGAAAACATCATGCCTGTACTTCCATGTATATTTAGTGACCGAAATGCATCTGAAACACTGCACTATCGATTAACTTAATTATTATTATTATTTTTTAAAATATATTTTTATTGATTTTTTACAGAGAGGAAGGGAGAGAGATAGAGAGCTAGAAACGTCGATGAGAGAGAAACACCAACCAGCTGCCTCCTGCACTCCCCCCATCGGGGATGTGCCCGCAATCAACGTACATGCCCCTGACCGGAATCAAACCTGGGACCTTTCAGTCCGCAGACCGATGCTCTACCACTGAGCCAAACCGGTTTCAGCCGATTAACTTACTTATTAAATTAACCTTAAAATGTAAGGGCCAGACAATTCTTTGGTTTGATTGTTATAGGAAAAAGTGGTATTTTGGTTTTGACTAAATCAGCAGTTCAGAGAGGCAATTATGATCATTGATAATTTCCCTCAATTTCTTTTCCTTTTATCACCCAAGTTGACTTTCTATGCTACCTTTTATTTTTATTATTATTTATATTATAGTTGACACATATTATGCTAATTTCAGGTATATAACATGGTGATTCAACATTATATTCCTTATATAATCACCACAATAAATCTAGTAACTGGTCTCATTGATAGTTATTACAGTAATATTGACTATTTTCCCCATGCTGTACATTACATTCCTATGACTTTTTAAAAAAATGTATTTTTATTGATTTCTGAGAGGGAAGAGAGAGGGAGAGATAGAAACATCAATGATGAGAGAGGATCATTGCTGCCTCCTGCACACCCCCTATTGGGAATCGAACCCACAACCCAGCATGTGCCCTTGACTGGAGTTGAACCCCAGGATCCTTTAGTCTGCAGGCCAATAATGCTCTATCCACTGAGCCAGACTGGCCAGCGCCTATGACTTTTAAATTTTTTTTATTTCTTTATTTTTAATAACTGAAGGTTTGTATCCTGTTCTCTGTATCTGTGAGGCTGTTTCTGTTTTGTTTTATTTGTTCATTTGTTTTGTTTTCTTAAATTCCACATATAAGTGCAATCACATGATATTTCTATATCTGTCTGACTTATTTTACTTCGTGTAAATACCCTCTAGGTCCATCCATATTGTTGTAAATTGCAAGATCTCATGTTTTTATTTATTTATTTTTATTTATTTATTTTTAAAAAGAGAGGAAGGGAAAAGAGAGAAAGATGAAAGAGAAACATCAAAGAGAGAGAAAGAGATGAGAGAGAAACATTAATCAGTTGTCTCCTGTGTGCACCCTAGCTTGGGATTGAACCCAAAGGCTAGGTAACCGTATGTGCCCTGATTGGGAATCGAACCCATGTTCTTCTGGCGTTCCAACCAACTGAGCCACACTGGTCAGGGCAAGATCTCATTCTTTATTTTCTTTTTTTAAGATCTTATTCTTTATGCTGCCTTCTACATTAATGATTTCTCCAAGCTCTTGAAATAAACAAAACAAATTAGCTTGATCCTTGAAAGAGAGTAAATAAGTCAGCCAGGACAGCCATTACAAGCGCAGCAATATTTTACAATAAGCATTCCCTCAAGATACTCAAAGGTCGCTTATTTTACTCACATGTGAGTTATCTCTACTTGTTTCTGACAAGGGTTAAAAGATAAAACCTTTCCAAAATTTCCCATTACTGAGTAAGCTATTTTCAGGCCACCAGAGTCTTGGGGAGGGAGGAGGAAGATTATCCATCATGCGGAGTAGATTCTAAAAGCGCAGCGTGTCTCCCAGCAGCGGTGCGTCTGCAAAGGCACGTAGGGGTGAGAGAGAACTTAGTTTCGCGGTATACTTATATAATCCTTATATCAAGCAAAACACATCTCGGTTTTATTTATGTAAGAAGGAATAAAGTGAAAAAAAAAGCTGCTTCTCAGAGCGCTTTATTAAAATGTGCCACGCAGGTAGAAGTATCTCAGAGGGGTTGCTGTGAGATAGGGCAGCAGGGGCTTGCTAGCTCTAATTTATAAGAAAATGTTCCAAAGGACTGACATATTTAATTATCAGTAAAATGCCCTAAAATTTTATTAATTATATTTTTGGCAACAGTACTTATTCCTAGAAATAGAAAAACTCACTTGATTCAGATTTGAAAATATTTTTGAAAAATGTGTTTTTTGTTCACACTTTGAGTGAGCCACCGACTTTTGATTCTCCTGCTGTAAAGGACTAATAAAATTAGGACTGTCCAATGCTGCCGAGCCGTATTAATCCACTTACCCTGCGGAATGCGCTTCTAGAATTGGCAGTCTCTGAACATGGTGTCATTCTGAGACTAAATGTGCAGCCAGCTAAAACATTTAAGTGACATACCGCAGTGCAAAATGCGTGCATATGTGTTTGCGAGGGAGATGTCCCGCTGTTGGGAGCCAGCCTCAGGGAGACCTCTCCCCTGGCCAGACACTGGGAAACAACCACAAAGCAGGAGTCATTTTCCAAACAATGGCTGAGCGGCTTCCTGGCGTTTTGGTGGTAATTTCATGTTTGAATAACATGCCAATGTCCTGCTTCAATGCCAAGAAAACATGCTACGGAACCACAAATGTGTCCTATCTTTTTCCATTTGGTGCATCCAGCAAAAACAGAACAACATTATCAGAACATATGTAGAGTGTCTAAAAGCCAGCAACAGCTCAATAATAAGCGGGTGTGAAGTCAAGGCATATTGCCCTCTTCCCTTTATGAAAAAGGGGTTTGAGTGCTCCCCACCTGTTCTCACTTCAGTTGCCCAGTCCTCTCCCTGCCTTCCTTTCTTATCTGTGTTCAAAGAGCTTATTTCCACACATAACTGCTTCCACATTTTCTATGGTTATTCGGTTTCTTTTAATTTTAGACCTTTTATGTCCTCCCTGCTCATTCCTTCTTCCCTTGGGTTTCTTTCCTTTTTGTTCCTATTCCCTGCACCCACCTTGCCTCCAGCCCCCACTGTCCTCTTCTCGTGGTTTTTAGTTGAGTAGCACTGTTGATTTCTCATGAGCTTCCCTAGTTGACATTCTTCTTTGCACCTAATCCATCACGTGGATCTAAAGGGAACAGGCTGGAATAGGGCAGATGGGTTGGCTGATCATTCCTGATTAGCCTGCAAATTGGATGTTCCATTTTCTCTAATGTAATTAAGATAAGCTGGGGGCGGCATGGTCAAGGGAAGAGAATTTTAATGTCGGGCCATTCATTTTTATTTGCGGCTTCTTATCACACTAATGATGAATGGAACCACAGGGCTGTTTATTCAGGTTGTGGGGTTGTTTCTAAATGAGAAGCTGGCACCCCTCTCAGATCTATCCGAGGATTTGGGCCCAGAAAGCTGCCAGTTTTTAGAGTACATCCTGTATTCAAGGCCCAAGAGTTCTGGCACACAGGTGGGCAGCGTGGTTAATCCCCACTTGTGGTCACTCTGTCCCTTACATGATGCTGGAAGTCTGCTTCCCCCATCCTCATCAGCAGGATCTCTAGATGGTGTATTGTCTGTTTTCTTCCTTTCCTACTCTGCCATTCTTGTCTTTTGTGTGTCCTGGGTTAGTGTCACAGCTTTGAGAGTGCCTCGCTGGCTGTTGCGATCTTGGAAAGCCTTGCCCCACCTCCTTATTTCTACACACCCTGGTCCTCGTGCCTCCTGGCCCTCCATTGTCCCTCCTGAGAGAGGCTCAAGGCTGAGGAGGAGATTGGTCTGACCAGTAAATAGGAAAAATTTTAGAAGAAATTGAAATTTACTTGTACACTATTTCTGGATATCTTCTTGCCCCCAACTTTCTGTTCTAACATACTTCTCTCTATTCAAAATATAGAGCTTTCACATATAAGTTCATTCGTGTACCAAGGGAAAAAGATTTTTCTTTAACTACTTTTTCAGTCGAGGCTAACTAACTGGCTGGAGTGGTCCATTCCTCCTGACTCTCTGGGAAAAAAAAAACACAACTAGGTGGGACACTGTTTTTAAAGTTTGTGATAGTTATTTCTCCTTGTGTCTTCAGAATGCATATTTAAAAAGGGATCCATTGCTAGATCAAGCTTGCAAGATGTGCTAGCCTTCTTCCTAGTCATTTTTGTGCGCCTCTGGTGTGCTTCTTTTTCACATTTTAATAAATATTGGTCCATAGTCAGACATCCCATTTGTGGCAAGAGTATATGTAATTTTTCTGACAGTTTTCCAAAGTATATGGTTATTATCAGTATAAATTATCTGCATTGCTAAAAATAAAGCAGGCATCACTGATGCTCGTTCCCTTGTTGCAGCCTAATTGGATGCCAATTTGATTGTAATCATGTTGTAGGTGAAATGGCTTTTTGAAAAGTGGGATTAAGTTGATAGAAACTTGGCAAAGCTGGTTTGGCTCAGTGGATAGAGCGTTGGCCTGTGGACTGAAGGATCCCTGGTTCGATTCCAGTCAAGGGTATATACCTTGTTTGCAGGCACATCCCCAGTGGGAGGGGGGGGTGTGTGCAGAAGGCGGCTGATCGATGTTTCTAACCATCTATCTCTCTCCCTGCCTCTCTGTGAAAAATAGATAAAATATATATATATTTTTAAAAAGTTGATAGAAACTTGCTTTGCCAATTAAAGAATAATAGGCTAAGAATGGTCATGATTCAGTACATCTCTATAAGTTGCTTTATTTTCCTCCTTAGAGGTTATATTTTGTCTTCTTTCCCTCCCTCTTTTTCTTTCTTTCTTCTCTCTTCTGTTCCCTCTTTTTTTTTTTCCCTTCTGGGTGCCTTTGTTTTGGTAACAACTGCAGTGTCAGCAGCAGACAGGAGTGAGGTTGCCAGACGTTACAGTGGTGACTTGGAGTAGGCGGGTAGGAAACCTCACCATAGAAGGCTCTATTTTTCTTTTACTGGTTTGCTTCCTCCTATGAAAATGTGACTTTCTTTAAAAAATGAAAACACTTTTGTTTTTCCTGTTTTCTTATCTTAGATGCTTATTAAGTCTTAGCATTGATTTTATAATCCATCATTATTTTATGTACTACAGAGAAAATAAACTGACATGCTGTCAGTTGTAATATGTAGCCTAATTTCAGAGGTTTTAAAAATATACAGGGTGAGGCAGAAGTTGGTTTATAGTTGTGGGTATATGAAACAGAGTTTATTCTTGTATTATTATTTATTGTATTATTATATTATTTTCCACCCTACATTTGTCTTAATAAGTACATGAAAAGATGTTCAGCATCTTTAAACATCAGGGAAATGCAAATTAAAACTATGAGATATTACCTAACACCCATGTAGGGTGGCTACTATAAAAACAACAACACAATAGTAAGTATTGACAAAGATGTAAGGAAATTAGAACTCTGTGCACTATTGATAGGATTGTGAAACGGTTCAGCCTTGATAGAAACAATCCCTCAAAAAAATTAAAACAGAATTACCATGTGATCCAGCATTTCCACTCTGGGTATATATATATATCCCAGAGAACTGAAAGCAAGAACTTGAGATAATTGTATACCCATGTTCATAGCAGCATTATTCATAATAACCCAAAGGTAGAAATAAGCGATTCAAGTCCGTATGAATAGATAAGTGAATAAACATTATGGTATATACATACAATGGAATATTATTATTTGGCCTGAAAAAGGAAAGGAATTCTGACACATGCTATAACATGGATGAATCTTGAAGACATTATGCTGAATGAAATAAGTCAGTCACAAAAAGGCAAATATAGTATGAGAGGTAGCTAGAATAGTCAAAGTCATAGAGACAGAAAGTAGAATGGTGGTTGCCAGGGGCTAGGGAGAAGAAGGAATGGGAAGTTATGGTTTAGTGGGTGCAGAATTTCAGTTTTACAAGATGAAAAGAGTTCTGGAGATGGATGTGGTGATGGTTGCACAGAACTGTGAAGGCACTCGGTACATTGACTATACTAAAAAATGGTTAGGGTGGTAAATTTTGTTATGTGTATTTTATCACAATTAAAAATTTTTAATGTGTTAGATTTGATAAAATGGTATATTGCAAACTCATGTCAGTGAACTCTTTAAGGGTAGTTTTTAAAGTTAATTGCTTTATCTCTACTTATGGACAGATAGTAGATTGGGAGGGCGGCACTTAATGGAAACCATATTCTTTGCTTTTTTCATTTGGGCTGCCTCTCCCTGCTTGTCTCTGACAGACATTTGGCATGGCTGAGGAGTACCATCGAGAGTCAATGCTGGTCGAGTGGGAGCAAGTGAAACAGCGAATTCTCCACACACTGCTGGCATCAGGAGAAGATGCCCTGGACTTTACTCAAGAAAGTGAGGTAGGTTGGGCCCAGAAGATGAAACACTGTTAATAAAAATGGGAGGTAGCTCTGCTGGTGTGGCTCAGTGGTAGAGCATTGACTCATGAACCAGGAGGTCATGGTTCGATTTACGGTCAGGGTACCTGCCTGGGTTGTGGGCTCAATCCCAGTGGGGGGCATGTAGGAAGCAGCTGATCCATGATTCTCTTTCATCATTAATTGCATCTCTCTTTTTCTTCCTCTCTCCCCCCTTCCTCTCTCTGAAATCAGTAAAAGCATATTAATAAATAAGCAAATAATTATCATCTGCTGAAGACCTCAAATATGCATCATAGCCTCAAGCTATTTGCGGCTATGTGTTAGGAAGAATGTCATGCTTGATTAGTGATGTCTGCCCTGTGCTGGAACACTGTGGCTTGATTAGTGATGTCTGCCCTGTGCTGGGACACTGAGGCTTGATTAGTGATGTCTGCCCTGTGCTGGGACACTGTGGCTTGATTAGTGATGTCTGCCCTGTGCTGGGACACTGTGGCTTGCCACACATTTGCCTCTCTGGTGTGGGGAGAGCACAGCCCTGGGTTCAAATTCTAGCTTTACCACTGACCTTGTCCAAATTATTTAACCAAGTTATTTAACCCTGCAGCCCTTCAGTGTCTTCACTGGTGAAATGTGATTATTGGGAAGATTAGTGATAACCTGACCCATAATGGCCACTCCATCCTATATTTTGTAAAAAGCAGTTTCAGATAATTTAGAGGTGCAGATTAAGTTATAATGTTATGAAAATTATAGTGTTAGACATTTCAAATATTTTTATCAATGCTTCTCGATAAGTTATTTTTCCCTAAGTTGTTTTATGGTTAGTTAGCGTACTTCTCCCATAATAGCTAGGATAGCTGGGGCTCAGAGAGATGTGTAATATGCTGGTGAGACGCAGGATTGCCTCCTTCTAGACCATGTTCTGTTGAAGTCTGCTTCAAGGGTGGGTAGCTTGGCAGTTTGTCATGCCTGCAGGATAACTTCACACATCCCATATGTACAGATTTACTCCTGATTTAAAAACCAGTTTATCTACTAAGTTACCCCCCAAATAAAAAGGTGCTAAAGTCATTTGTCTTAGGAAATTACTCCTTAAGGCTCTGTCCACATATCTTAGACTCAAAGACGTCAAGACTCCGATCAGAGTCTTGGGAAGGAAGAACTAATGTCCAAAGCCCTTGATCAACCTAATATTTCTTTCTCAATTTCTTGTGAGTCCGGGCAGATAAATAGAATAGCTCATGGTTTTATAAACTTCATTTTTTAAAATGGTGTTAATGGGTTGTGGTTTGTATTGGGATTTGGAAGTAATTATAAGCTGTTAATGAGATGTTCTTTCTTGATTGTTCTTTTAAAAATAGACTAGTCTATTTAGCAGACTCTCCCTTCCCTGACCTTGGGAAGGGAGTTACCAGCATTTGCTGTTCTCTGTGACACCTAGCAGAGTGGGTGGGGTGGCTGTGAAAGCCAGTGAATGGTGTGGTGGCTTTCTCTCCAGGTTATCCAGAAAATTGCCGCTTTATGAACCCCTGTGGGTTTATTATTTGTTGTTGTTTTGAACTTTTTTCCTAAAGTACAACGTGTCCAGAAAAGCCCACATCCTAAGAATACAACTCAGTGAATGATCACAAATGGAACACACCCAGATGAGAGACAGGATATTACCTGCACCAAAGAGTCCTCCTCGTTTATATGCCTTTTTAGTTACTACCCCTCTGCCCCCAGCATGGGAACCACTGCTGTGAATTCTAACATCACAGATTAATTAGAGGCCTGGTGCACGAAAATGGTGCACAGGTAGAGTCCATAGGCCTGGCCAGGTGATCAGGGCTGATCAGAGCTTTCACTCCACACCTCCCCCTGGTGGTCAGCACATATAGTGAGCGATTGGTCTCCTGGCCAAACTTCCACTGGGAAAATTTGCATATTAGGTGCATATATATAGGGGGGGGGGGAGGGAGGGAAGGAGGGAGGGGGAGAGAGAGATTTTGCCTATTTTTGAACTTTATGTAAATGGAGTCATACAATATGTACTCCTGTTTCTGCTTAACATTCTGTATATCATTGTAGGCCATTCATTCTCACGGCTGAACAGTGTAACTGCAATCTGTGTATCCATTCTGGTGTTGATGGACATTTGGATAGTTCCCAGTTAGGGGCTTTTATAAATAGCGCTGTTTTTGTGAACATTTTGTCCTTTTAAATTTAACCATTCTGGTGGATATGTGGAACCATGTGTTTTTACAGGCTTTTTCCATATAATTTTCTCCAAAGGAATGGAAAGGTAATATTATCTTCACTTGGGCAGCACTTTCTTTACCCTCTTATAGGAAACCACATAGTGTGAAGCCAGAGATGGCATTTGAAATCCAGGTTCTCTCTTAAAGAACTAACTGTTGGAAGGGACGTGGGGCTTGTATAAAGCCCTAGACCAGTGCTGGCACAGAGCACACAGCACATCCTAGTGGCAATTTTGGTGACTGTTATTATTTGGTGAGCTCTTCAATGTTTATTTTATTTTAATCATTTTAATAGGACCTGCTCTTTTTTAAGTATTTATTATCAGGGAAATGGTTGTTGGAATCCACAGAGTCATTAGTTAGGAAGGAAACTTCCAGTCATTTTGAGCTGACCTTACATTTGGAGGAAAGTGTTCATATTTGGGTAATGTAATATAGAGAGACTAGAGAGAGGCTTGAGGCTATTTTTTTTTTTTTTTTTTTTTTTTAAGCAAAACTGAGCTAGGATATGGTGGTTCCTGAAAAATTTCCCCCGAAGCCATCTGATAATAGAAGAGCAGTGACACGTTGCTCATGCCTGTTGCTGGCAAGTTCCAGTGAGGGAAACGGTGCCTCAGTGGCATCCATTCAGTTTGGGAAGTTGATCTCCTTAGGACATCATTGAAGAAAGAGGTCTGCTTTTTAAAGGAAGGTAGAGATTGGAAGATTGTTAATAACTTTTCAAGTTGGGCTGAATAAGAAGGATATACTTTGCAGCAAGAAAGAGGCTCCTGGCAAAGAGCCCTTGTACCCTACCTGGTCCTTCCTGCCTCCAGTCCATGTGGCGCTGCTGACATGACAGCACATGGGGCACGAGCAGTGTTGGGAATTGATGTATTTAGCCAACTTTAAAAACAGCACTTAAAGGTAAATCACCTAACCTCAGTGAGGTCCCGTGGCTTGTGTGGGAATTAGACATAGTCAATGGATGGTCCGTAATATATCGTCTGGAATATGTCTTAGCCTAGCCACTAATAGGCTCAGTAGAGAAACCAGTTGTAGCTTAATAGTTATAGATAATGAAGGTCACATTCCACACAGTGATGTGTGAACCGCGTAAATGGCCATAGTGTCTGATTTTGATAACTGACTTAGTGCCGTGTTTCATCAATTCCAAGAAAGATATGTGTATCTTTCCCACATTTTAATATTTCTGAAACCAGGATGTCTTAAATTCAGTGTTGAGTTGCACTAGTAGTACTGGTTTCTGTGTTCAGATTTCATAGCCAGCGTTGTCAATTCACCACTTTGGCCCCATTGAGCTCACATAAAGCCAATTCCCTTTCTTCGGTAGTATCTCCATGCTTCCTCTTTATCCTGTACTTGTTTTCCTAGGAGTGTTAGTTCCCATGCTTTTCTCCCCGACTAGAATGTGGCCTCCTTGGGAAAAGATTGATTCATCCCTGGATACACTCTGAACAAAAGTGTAAAAGTTTGTAATTCCCTCCTGTCACACCTCACCTGTTCTAGGGTGCTCTCTTAGAATGAGCTTTTGGGAATACCATCTGCTCTGAAAGGACCCGCTTCATGGCTGTGCTCCCACAAGTGGCTGTTTCTCCACATTCCTCTAGACTCCTGGGCGAGCCCCTTCTCTGGCCCTGCCTTCCATCTTCCCTCCCTGCCTTTCTGATCTCTGGTTTCTGCTCCTGTCACCCCCACTGTGTTCACTCTGGGTCCGGAGAGAGAAACCCATAAGTACGAGGAGTTTGCAGTGACATTCCCACAGCGTATACTGGTTTCCCAGCCTCAAGCAGCCCCTGGCTTTGAAATTCCAACAAACGTTTGCTGGTTCTCGGCTCAGGAATGTGCACGTTCACATCCTGTGGATGGATAATTGACTTTATGTGTGATGACATAGAGGCTGGGCCAAGGACACATGAAGGAAAGGTGCTTTTGAAAACAAGAGCATTAAGCAACATTAATTTAAATGGAAATCTGAAGCCTGAAAACCAACTGCTTTTTAAATGGATAATTTTAAAAATTGGGTTTTTAGTACTGGAGAATGTTTCTCAAGGCTATTTGTGTGTATTTAGCTGAAACAGCTGTGTCCTTGCACAAATATTTTAGTACTGCTCCCCTGTCATCCCCCGCCTCATTCCTCCCCAGGTCGCTGGGATTAACAGGCATAGAGATCTCTTTAAAAAGACTTGCTGTTCCAGAACGGTGGTCTTACCGAACAGCCCTCCGCTCCGTTACTGGGAACACTCACAATTAGTCCAAATGTCGAAAACGAGCTGCTGGGCTTCTGTTCATACAGGAATGTGCGTATTATATAATAAAAAGACCAGATGAGAATTGCCAGCCAGCTCAAAGGAAAACATTTTAAGTTATGTTTCGGTAATGTCCCTATCTGTCTACAGTGTGGGGTTTATTTCTGTGTTTATTTTTTGTTTAAAACGAGAACAGCTAGCATTTATTGGCTGCGTGTTGGACACTATATGCTGAGCTCTTTCTACTTACTCTTCACAACAGAGGTTGTGAATACTGCTTTTCTCTCCATTGAATCTTCACAGACCTGTGAGATGCATCTCAGCCCCCCTCCTGTTTTATAGCTAAAAGAGCAATATACTCAATCCAGGTCACACCAGTGAGTGCTGGAGCCAGCATTTCTAACCACTCTTGCCGTTCAATGGCTGTCCTTGGAAAGTTGTGCCTAGCTGCCCTGGCCGGCAGTGTGGTGCTGACTTCGGATGCAAACCATGGTTCCACTGTTCCTATAGGAGTGCCCTTGGGCAAGTTGCTTTCTGTGTGCTTTGATGTCTCCATGTGTAAAACTGATACGGTGAAGGCACATATCTCATAGGGTTGCGGAGTGAATACATGGACATTAAGACAGTGCTTAGCACTTAGTAGGCGTTCAGGAAACAGCCAATTGATATTTCTCATAGATGTTTCTCTTTCTTCCTCTCAAATAAAAACATTTAAAAAAGACAGGCATGTGTTTATATAATTTTTGTTTGTTTATATGATTGAATGCTGTTCTTAACCAGTTCTGAATGTGTATTCGTCTCCAGCCAAGTTACATCAGCGATGTGGGACCCCCTGGTCGGAGCTCTCTGGACAGCATCGAGATGGCCTATGCCCGGCAGGTGAGCACGCTCTCAAGGAAGACGGAGTCCAGGGAAAATGTGGGCCCCCTGGGGAGTAAAAGAGAGCAGAGACTTCATGTGAAAGTCAAACCCTGAGGCCTCATTCAGAGGACTGGTTAATATTTTACCATCTAGGCCACTGGAGAATTCTATCAAATTGGCTAATTGACTGACTCCGATTTGGTTTAGGGAAATTGAACTCTGCCTCCTCCATATAGCCAAGGCATCTCATTTTGCATTTGGCAGTAGCCCATGCACAGTAAAGCCTTGGGTAACTGCACTGCTTAGCAAATGGAGTTCCCTATTAACTGAATTGCCTGGGAGGCTGGTGGTATTATGGGAAATCCCTCTTCACCCTTGTGCTGAGAAATTTTCTAAATGCTTTTCTGCTTCATAAGCATCGTGTACTCACCACTTTCTAATGTTGTCCTGGGCAAGCTCACACTGTTGGGGGACCGTGGTCCAGTTGTGTATCATGACCATGTCATCATATGAGGTGGATTGAGGTAACTGTGGGTGTGGGCAGCACAGGGATTCACTGGACTGAAAAGGCCCTAAGGTCACTGTATTTTTAAAAAAATATATTTTTTATTTTCAAGAGGAAGGTAGAGGGAGAGAGAGATAGAAACATCAATGATGAGAGAAAATTATTGATTAGCTGCCTCTTGCAAGCCCCCTATGGGAGGGTTAGGGCGTTCAAGCCTACAATCCAGACATGTGCCCTTGACCAGAATTGAACCGGGGACACTTCAGTCTGCAGGCTGATGCTCTCTATCCAGTGAGCCAAATCGGCTAGGGCTGGAACTGACTTTCTGAATAAAGCAGTGCTGGCCTCCTGTATGTTTTATTCCAATTTGCTGCTTCCTCGCACAAAGTATCAAAAGGGGGAAATGGTTTCCTGAATCCAGGGTGGCAGACTTCCATCCCTCTTACACCCTTTGGTGAGAAGAGCTCTAAATAGTTTTTTAAAGTCCCAGTATACCGTGGCCACTTCTAACCAGGCAGCCGAAGCCAGCCCCTCTCTCCGCATCCCTCAGCTTTTACTACTCGACCCTCACTTCTTTTCTCCGCTCCAGTTCTGAGACCCCTCCCGCTACATCTACATCCTTTTAAGTTCACCTTCATTGGCTGACTCCTTCCAATGCCCCAGCCACCACCGCAGTTCAGACCTAACAAGTAAGCTTCTGAAGAGAGAAGCTGAGTCTTCTGTAACTGTGAAAAATGTGGGTTAAAAGAGCTCACATTCCCAGCCCTGAGTACACCACAGTGGATCCTTACATCCCAGATTGAACATAGATTGCAAAGCGGGGAGGCCCCTATGCTCATCGAGTGAATAAATTTTCAGTTTTAAATCTTTGCAACGCCCCCGGAGGCTACCTGGTATGGTAGAGGGAAACAGTTTTGGTGGGTTCCCAGTTTTCTAACATCACTGCCTTGTTTGGTTCCTGGTAGAGCAAGGACTTCAGCTGTAAAGACTAGAGCTTGCTAGTTTTTACAATCATTATTTTAGTTCTTTTAAAATATAATTCATAGTAATAGTGGTTTCTCCATACCTTAAAGATCGCATAATTCCTTTTCCTTGGAAACATTTGCTAAGGAGAAAGGGCACCCCAAACAGCTGCTGATCTGACCTGGGAGGGCTGCTGTCACACCTCCCCCCATTCAGTCCCCGAGCCCTGGGCCTGGCTGTTCCGTCCCTTTGCTGAAAGATTACCAAACGTTGCCTCGGGTTCTTAGGGAGCAGCTGTGGGTCCTTCCATGGCCGCCTCTCCCTGTGGTCCTTGCCCCCTGGGGCTCCGGGTCTGCTGGGCAGAGGCACAGAACGGCCTGCGGTGCGCCCCCAGGAGCACCCTGCTCCCCGTCCTCAGGTGTCAGGAAGGGTGGGGGAGCAGTTAGCTCTGTGTGCGGATGCTGTTGCTCAATCACACACCTGGGAAGAGGGCTGTGGCCTTGCTCACTGGGCAGGACGGACAGGCAGAAGGACAGGTTGGCCAAAACTTTGCTGATGGTGGGGCAGGAGCTGGCTTAAGCACGGTTTTAAAAAGAAGAGATGAAAATAGAAATGTGCCTTTGCTTTTCCTTATTTCAGATTTATATCTATAACGAGAAGATCGTAAACGGGCACCTGCAGCCTAACCTCGTGGACCTCTGCGCTTCCGTCGCAGAGCTGGACGATAAGGTAGGGCCCAGAGCCGCTGAGCAGGAACCTGGGGGCCGGTGTTCACAGGGGATTAGCAGCTTGCTGACTTGGCAGAAATGGGCTGAAGAAACACTGTTCATGGGATAAAGGTTAACTATTCCTCAGAGTTGTATTGTAAATAATTTAAAAATATATATACATTCCAATGATTTCAGAGAGAAAAGGGGAGAGAGAGATAGAAACATCAGTGATGGGAGAGAATCATGGATTGGCTGCCTCCTGCATGCCCCCTACTGGGAATCGAGCCCGAAACCTGGGCATGTGCCCTTGACTGGAATTGAACCTGGGACCCTTCAGTCTGCAGGCTCTATCCACTGAGCCAAACCGGCTAGATCTTGGGTTGGTTTTTTGATGATGGTGCTATACATGTATTTTTAATGCATCTTCAGAAGGTTCAGCCAGGATCAATTCTTGGCCACAGGAGTTCTTGAGCTGTGTTTGCTTTGAAGTCCTGTTGGCTTTAACTCCTCCTCCCTGGTTTCCCTCCTTAGGCAGACTAATGGGATCTGTGTTGTGTAGGTGATGTATGTGGTTTTCACACCGTGAGCCTCGTGAACATGATTCTGGTGGAATGTTCATCTCTTCATATGCTGCTGGTTCCCTTTATTCTCATCCCTTTATTCTCATCCGTGGCCAGTTTTATCCCCCAGGGGGAAAATAAATGACGTGGATGGCTGGATTGGTAGGGGTCCAGGAGGAAGGAGGAAAGAGGCAGGATAAATATAATGGCAGTAAGCAGGCATACACAGATTTTTTTCCTTCAGAAATGCACCCAACTTTGCTTTTTTTAAAATAGTAAAATATAAGGCACTGCAAACATCTCAAGAAGAAAGCACGCAATTCACCTACCATGTCACCAGCTAGGAAGAGTTGCATTTGGGTAGATTTTCTACAGTTTTAATTTTGGAGAGGACAATGAAAGTAGGGTGTGGTTTTGTTCCCTTTGGAAAAGTGTTAACCTGCTTTTCCCTACTCGTCCAAGGATTCTTACTTATAATAGTGCACAGGTTCCGGGAACACTTTTCCAGGCGGGATGTAAGCCAGGCAGGTGCTGGGAGAGGGAGCCCCAGCTGTGTGCTGGTAACAAGGGCGAGAACGTCCGCTCCTGTCCCCTGCTCCTGTCCCCTGCTCCTGTCTCGGGAGGCGCCTTCTGAGGGACTGAGTGGGAAGGAAAAGGGGAGGCTGGGACACTCCCAAAATGGGGTAAGAGCAGTGGGCCTGGGGAGTCTCCGGAGGACAAAACATTATTTATTAGGTTAAACTTTCATTTGAAGCCTTACCAAACTGAAACGACCTTGTAAGGACCGAAATGCAGCTACTTGAGTCCAAACTCCTAGCGCGTTGGATGATTATAAAAGTATCCACTCTCTCTTAAGGGCTAACCCACTGGGATTCATTGTTGTTGGTAGTTCTGTGTGGTCTTAAGCATGTGGGTGGTTCTGTCAGGCCTGGGATCATCATTGATCTGCAGCCGGCTTGCACAGGCTGCTCGTCGGAAGGTGAAAGCCTGGCAGGCGGCGGGGCAGAGGTGCATCTTCTGTGCTGGGCGTAGCCTGGGGGCCTCCGACAGGAGCCGTTAGCCTCGGCCCCTCCACGGCCTGCCTGCCTGCGGTGAGCAGGTCCGAGCGAGGAAGAGCCAGGCACTCTCTCCAGCCCCATTGTCACGTGCCGTTACTTTGTGCAGCATTGTCACCTGCCGTTACTTATGTGCAGAACATCTCTGACCTGTGGACCATGGTAAAGCAGATGACAGACGTGCTGCTGGCACCGGCCATGGATGCCCTGAAGAGCCGCAGCAGCGTGGAAGTGCGCATGGAGCTGGTCAGGCAGGCCCTGCGGTACCTGGAGCAGAGGTGAGGCGGCGGCACAGCGGGGCTGGCTTTAAAGTGCCCGGAAGTCCCTCACTTCTCCCGCGTCCAGTAGTCCTTACGCTAAATGCTCTGTAGCTGGGTTCAAACAAGTGGAGCAGGTCCAAGGGGAATGATCCTGTTTTCTGAAGCATTTCTCTGACAGGACTAGTTCTGCAACAGTGAAAAAGCGTGGGAGGTGGGGGCACTGTTACACTTCTCTTTCTCTTTCTCCTCCGGCTGCCCCTCCGTATGGAGATAACATGATTACTAGACCAAGTGCCTTAGGTCGGGATCCTGTTCCCTCCTGCGGCTCAGCAATGACTCGTAGGCTCCTTTGTCTTTGCTCAGCATTTTAATTTTCACACCTGGCAGTCTTGCCACCTTTAAACCTTAGGAAGGCCCCTTGGTCCTTTCTCTTCCTTCTGGTTCTAGCCAGTTAATCCTGAGTCCAGTCCTTCCCAGCTGCTGTGGCTGTGATTTGTGCTTGGGTTTCTTTGCCACCCCCTCACTAATTGGACTTGGTCACTGAGGGGGCTGTGGCTGTGCCCTAACTATCGGGAATGCCCTTTGTTGGTAGGGCTGGTGCCATTCATCCCTCCCTGTGGGCACTCCTTCCCGTTGTGAATTGGCCAGCAGGAGCCATCATGAGTGGGCCGCAGACCTGTTTGTTTCAGAGCCAGGGTGCTGGGCTCTGCTGGCTGGGGAAGAAAAGCCCAGCTGAATGCACCGCTCAGTTCAGCTCCTTGCCCCGGGGCCTGTGCGGCTGCCTGCGGCCTGGCAGTGGGTCCCCTTAATCAACAGGATAATACTTCATTAGGAGCTCATAAAGCTTCCTGGGTGTAACCGAGGTAATTCAGACTCAGTCAGCAGAGAATAGGTTTTTATATCAGATCCTGTGTTGTACAGTAGCTACACGAAATGAACACCATGGGGCACGTTGAACTCACTGGCCTCCATTAACACTGGTGATTGCCTTCACCAGTGTACCAGGCTGTGTTCTTTGGTTTTATATCTGGTAAGCAACACCCCCCACCTCTTTATTATTATTATTATTATTACCATCTTCATTTTTTAAAAATATATTTTATTGATTTTTTTTACAGAGAGGAAGGGAGAGAGATAGAGAGCTAGAAACGTCTATGAGAGAGAAACATCGACCAGCTGCCTCTTGCACACCCCCTACCGGGGATGTGCCCGCAACCAACGTACATGCCCCTGACCGGAATCGAACCTGGGACCTTTCAGTCCATAGACCAACGCTCTACCACTGAGCCAAACCGGTTTCGGCTTTTTTTTTTTTTTTTTTTTTTTAAATATATTTTATTGATTTTTTATACAGAGGAAGACAGAGGAATAGAGAGTTAGAAACATCGATGAGAGAATCATCGATCAACTGCCTCTTGCACACCCCCCACCGGGGACGTGCCCGCAACCAAGGTACATGCCCTTGACCGGAATCGAACCCGGGACCTTTCAGTCCGCAGGCCGACGCTCTGTCCACTGAGCCAAACCGGTTTCCCATCCTCATTTTTTTTTTTTTTTAATATATTTTATTGATTTTGTACAGAGAGGAAGGGAGAGAAATAGAGAGCCAGAAACATCGATGAGAGAGTCATCGATCAGCCGCCTCCCGCACACCCCCCACCGGGGACGTGCCCACAACCAAGGTACATGCCCTTGACCGGAATCGAACCCGGGATCTCTCAGTCCCCAAGCCGACGCTCCATCCATTGAGCCAAACCGGTTTTGGCCCCATCTTCATTTTTTTTTTTTTTTTTTTTTATAATTATCTTATCCCAGTAATTCCTTTAGCAGTGCTTGGAGCTATTTGGAGTTTCCTGTCCATATTATTGTAACATGTTCTTTTTCACTCTGGCGGCATTGTTCCCTGCTGGCATTCTTTTTAAGGATTCACTGTCGCCTGTTGATAAAATGAATATTTTAAGAATAATTATACTCACTTTTAAAGTATTTTTGCTGGTGCTATTCTTTTAAATTTTTGTAGGTTGACATTTTTCCAAAGAAAAGGTTTAAAAAGAACTCACTAGAACATTAGGCTGTGAGTGGCAGCAATTATTATTCTGCACATTAGCCCTAATGCATTTGAAGTCCATAGTTATATTCCTCCAGGGATTCTGCTGAGTATCTGCAGTGATGAGAAATCGTTACCACAATCCGCTGCCCACTGCATAAGTAATGCGGCTTACTTCATTAAATATGCACCATTTCCTCTTTGTGTCAGGCTGGACATCCAGGCCCCGCCCTTCAGAGTTCACAGTCTGTCCACTGCCATGGATTTGGACACAGATGTGTGTGATATGGGTTTTCAGCCTCCTTAGTTTTTTCTTTTAATTTTTCCAGTTATAAGAATTACACCCTCGTGACTGTCTTTGGGAATTTGCATCAGGCCCAGCTGGGTGGTGTGCCTGGGACTTACCAGTTGGTTCGAAGTTTCCTGAACATTAAACTGCCAGCTCCTTTGCCTGGACTTCAGGTATTGGCAATTTTCTCTGTGTGATCATTTATACCGCCAGAGTTTTCCGTTAAAATGAAGTTAGATGTAGAAAAGAGACCAGAGGGAGAGGAGAGAAGCTCGGAGGCCTTGGGAGGCTAGGAGTGCAGGAGTCCGGCTGATGATGGCACTTGCTCAGCTCGGTATGTGTGTATGGGACCGGGGCGTAGGATGTTCTGAGTTCCGGATGTGTTTTGAAAGCAGAGCCAGTGGGGCTTGAAGAACTTGGAAGTGGGTGTAGGAGGCAGAGTCAGGGATGACTTCTGAGACTGTTGGCTCTGACAGCTAGAAGAATGGAGTTCCATATGGTTCTTAGGGTGTGGCCTCTGCTCAGCTCACAGTCCCGTTGGGGGAATTACTGTATCGTTTATCATACTGTGTGAAAGTGCTGCTGTGTGTTGGGATACACTGGAGGCTGGCTTCGTAAAGGAGGTGAGGTTCCCACTGTGCTTGATAAACAGGGGCTCACCAGCCCGGAACAGGGAAAAGAATATTCCACAAGGAGGGAACAGTATGAACAGATGCATGGAGGCAGGAAAGAGTATCTGGAATATTGGCTGTGTGCTAGGCGTGGCAAGCTTGCAGCGGGCATGTGAAGGCCTGAGTGCCAGGCTAAGCATTTCGGATGTGAACAGCTCAGAGGGGTTTAGGTGGGGAAGTGATACGATAAGATCTGGGTTTTAGAAAGAGTCCTGCAGGGGTGGGTGGAGAAGCCAGAAAGGAGGTCTGTGGTTCACCTCTCTGGAGTTTCACAAACTCAGAGTGAAAAAGATGGTCTCTTATTGGCCAGTGGACGTCTAGCCTCTTTGTGGGGGTTGCAGGAATGCCGGTCTAAGTTGTCCCCAAACACGCGACCTGGTTTCTGAGGCTGCTGGGTCCCTTGGAGAAACCACAGGCTGCTCTGAGTCGGGTGGGGCACAAAGTGACTTAGAGGAAGAGCTTCAGCGCCAGACTGCCACTTGGCAGCTCACCTTGAGCAAATACTTCACGTGGCCACTTCATTTTGTTTGTTTGTAAAACAGAGGAAGAGAAGACCATGAATGGTGCCCGCCTAATAGGGTGGTCAGTATTAAGGGACCCCTACAGGAGAGGACTTAGCTGAGGGTCAGCATGTCGGAAAGCTGTCGGAGGCTTTGTTGTGTGTGTATTTGAGCATCTTTCCTCTTTCAGGACGGAGAGGTGGAAGGCCACCCTGTGTGGGCGTTGATTTATTACTGCATGCGCTGCGGAGACCTTCTGGCTGCCGCCCAGGTGGTCAACCTAGCCCAGCACCAGCTGGGAGAGTTCAAAACCTGGTTCCAGGAATACATGAACAGCAAGGACAGACGGTACGGTGACGGATGGCGCATCCAGAGCGGTGCTCTCTTTTCCCTCTGCAGGGCTCACACTAAGTCTACTCAGGAAAAGTAATGTGTAGAGGGCGAGTAGGAGACTCTGGGGAATAACAGTTGAAAACCTTAGAAGAAGAGCCAGCCCCGTTCCGGTCCTCATTTCTGGACGTTCACGTATCTGTGAGGAATTTTCTGTCAGTGCGGGAGAGGCTGTAGTGGGAGCATGATTGGACATATTTTGCAAATCCCAGGCACAGCAGGGTGCTTACAAAATGATTCACTGATTAGCACTTAGTGCTTTTCTGGTTAGCCTGGTATGTTGTCATGCACTCCATAGCTCAAAGGCTAGAATTAGAAGTTAGTTTAAATATATGGACCGTTATGTAGAAGAATTTGTTTGACAATGTTAATGATGCCTTGTTCAGAGAGAATTGTAAGCTATAAACCCCTGTCTGGTTTGTATCAGAGAGTAAAGTAGGGTTAATGTCCTTGGGTTTCCCCAGAGGGAGCCCCGGAGGCAAGGATTTGCATGCAGGTGTTTATCTGGGATGTGATCCCCCGTGGATAAGGGACTGCTTGTCCATCACTGCTGGAGGGCCGTGGAGAGAGGGGAGGAGTATTCACTCCCAGCGTTTCTGCCCCACCCTGAAGCCTCTACTGGAGGCAGCTGGCAGGCAGTCACCCTTCAGACTAAAGTGATGGGACTTGGGGTGGCAGGACAGGTCTGTGACCTGCGAGAAGGAAGACTTTCTAACTCTGTTACGCCATTGGGAACGGGTGCTTTCAGATGCCCTTGAGGATCTTGGTGACTGTTTCTGTCTGTTCCCTGTGTCTGTAGATTGTCCCCAGCCACAGAGAACAAGCTCCGCCTGCACTACCGCAGGGCCCTCCGGAACAACACAGACCCCTACAAGCGGGCTGTGTACTGCATCATCGGCAGGTGTGATGTCACCGACAACCAGAGCGAAGTGGCCGACAAAACCGAGGACTACCTGTGGTTAAAGGCAGGCGCTGCTTTTTTTGCCCAAGCCCCTTCCCTCTGCCCGAGTTCTACCAGCAGATTTTACCTGCTTAAAGTATGACCCAGTAAGGCGACCGGGCTAGTGGATTTTTGTGTCCTGGCTCCATTTCTTATTGTGTAATTCCCAACTGGTAACCACGCCACTAGCACAGCACCTGGACAGTTATAGCTGCAGCTGCACGCCTGGCTCAGACATACTCCGTACCAATGCACCTGTTTCTCTTGGGGGTTTAGTTGAATCAAGTGTGTTTCGATGATGATGGGACCAGCTCCCCACAAGACAGGCTCACTCTCTCACAGTTCCAGAAACAGCTGTTGGAAGACTATGGTAAGATACCCTGAACTAACCTCCTTCCCACGTTCACCCAAGGTCACTATTTACTTCTTCTTGGAAAATCCTTCACCTCTGAACTCTGTCTCCTCCAGACCCCCTGCATCTTCAAAACACAGCCCAGCACAACGATTTCAGATCGCAATCGAGGCCATGTGGCCTTCAGAAGTGTTGTGACTTATGGTCTATACAGTAGCTGTTTTCCTAGAACTGCTCTGATCGACATTTGCTCAGGGAGAGGCGTAAAGGGGACTTGTCTATTGCTTTCTCATAGATCTTGCAGTGGTTATATCGGAGCACAAATGCGGGAGAATCCCCCCCCGCACCCTCCCCCCCCCCCCCCCCCACACACACACACACACATTGTTTAAGAATCCTGGAAGAAAAGAATCCAGCTAGTGGTCAGTAGTTATTGAATTCAGTCACTGCGACTCTGAGTGATCTGAAGCCCCTTTGCAGTCTTCATTCCTCTCCTAGTTGAGGGACTTCATCAGGATAAGGCGATCAGCAGCCCTTTTGTATTCCTTTTTAAGGTCCTGAACTCTGTTTCTCTCCCACCTACTGCAAGCAGCTTGGGTTTCACAACACGCTCCCTACCAATGTGTTGTCGGGTCTAGAGAAGGCCATGGAACCAGGTTGGGTTCACATGGCAGTGCTCTGTGCCCAGCCCCTCCACCCCCCAGAGGTCCTTGAAGGGCACAGGCTTCTGCGTGGGGTCGGCTGAGGAGGCTGACACCCTCTGAGTGGGCTGCATCTCCCCACACAGGCGAGTCCCACTTCGCAGTGAACCAGCAGCCCTTCCTCTACTTCCAAGTGCTGTTCCTGACCGCGCAGTTCGAGGCGGCCATCGCCTTTCTCTTCCGCACCGAGCGGCTGCGCTGCCATGCCGTCCACGTGGCCCTCGTGCTCTTTGAGCTCAAGCTGCTTTTGAAGTCCTCGGGACAGAGTGCGCAGCTCCGTGAGTATTGGGTGGCAGCAGCATAACCATGTCCCATCCCCCAGGGGGTGGCAGTGGACACATCCCTGCAGCCAACGAGGATGGGCAGATGGTACCCACCATGACGACAGTGCCGTGCACAGTGCTGGGTTAGTGGCTAGTCTGGCAGGTTGCCCCGGGGGAAAAGCAGGAGAAGCAGGGCCGAGGTCATGAGTCTGGGTCCCCCTGTCTCCACTCTGAGCTTGGGAAGAAATTGAGGACAGGTGGTGACTGGGCTGCAGGACTAGGTGCTGCTGAGTCCTTAGACAACCCCCACAGTCCATCGTTGCCTGGATCCGAGGGACAGCTTGGTTGTGACCAGTTCTGTGTGTCCGTCCGTGTGTCCCCCCCCCTCCCCCCCGGTGCAGTCAGCCACGAGCCTGGCGATCCCCCCTGCATGCGGCGGCTGAACTTCGTGCGCCTCCTCATGCTCTACACCCGGAAGTTTGAGTCCACGGACCCGAGGGAGGCCCTCCAGTACTTCTACTTCCTCAGGTAAAACTTGCTCCTGACCCTTCACTTCCGCTGGCTGTGACCTCGAGTCCAAACTAGAAACCACGTTGCCTTTGCCCCATACAGGGACGAGAAAGACAGCCAAGGAGAAAACATGTTTCTACGCTGTGTGAGCGAGCTTGTGATCGAGAGCCGAGAGGTATGTTGGTTCCTTCCTCTCCCACCCATGGTTGTCAGCGTACAGTCTCACGCTGACCGGGTACCCTCAGCAGGGTTCCGATGGAGAAGACCCAGTGTTTTTTTCATTTTCTTTGGTTTCTGTCAATGAAATGTTGATTCAGTCCCACTGTTTCCGAGTTAATGTAAGCCTTCTCTCACCTCCCCTCTCTCCTTCCCCTCTTTTGTCCCCAAAGAATTGTGGACTATGGGCATATCTTGTCCGGTAAATTGAGTAAACACTTTTGTCTCCACAGTTTGACATGATCCTCGGGAAACTGGAGAATGATGGGAGTAGAAAGGTGGGTAAAACACACGCTGGAGATGTGCTAGTGTGCAGCTGAGATTTGTAATTGTCCAAAGATTACAGTTAGACTTTAGGTTTCAAGGTACTAATAAAGGTGTAGATATGAATGGAGTTGCTTAGTTCAAAACACAAAGCATGACTGTTACAGGCTCCAAATGATGACCTTGATTTTACACACATTCGTTTCTCAAAGTATGTGAATTGGTGACTAGGTAGCTTTTTATTATGTGCAAAGTACTCATCTGTCCACGCCTGCCGCTTAGGAGCTGAGAAGGTTATATTACTGTTATTCTTGGGTCAGGAAATATGCAAGAAAAAAGATTGATTACCACACCTACTCTCCCCAGATGGAAAAGTTAGAAATATGTTTGACCTCTGTCAGAAGGTACTTCTGAGGGCTCAGCACCCCACTGACCCTGAGATGTAGCTGCTCCCGTGAGCCTCAGCGATTCCTTTGGGCGGCTCAGGAGCAGGGACGGAGGCCCTGCATTGGAGACCAGTCCTGACCCCATTGAGCATGCTCCTTGTGCCTCTTCCGGGGACTCACTTTCCTCACTTGTGAGGTGGTGGCTAGGACCCAGAGATTAAGGGGAGCCCACAGCGCTCACACCGTCCGGCTGAGAAGGGAAGCTGAGCGTGTCGGGCTTTTTAGCAATCTGATTGCCACGATAGCTCAGCACGGTTGGCATTGTTACCTGTCTTTTCCAAGGAGGCTAATCATATTCCTCAAGATCACACGAGTAGTAAGAAGGGGGGCTGGAATTTGAACCCCAGAGCTCCTGCTCTCCCCTGACCTGGGCTGCCTGAGGGTGGCAGGTGCAGGTCCCCTGACTTGGTTCAGTGCTGATGGAGAATCAGAACAGCCAGTTGGATGTCACGAGATCCGCCCTGGCTTTCTGTGGCTCCTAAGGCCTCTCTCATGCTCTCCTGACCACCTGGTTGCATGAGATTGGTGATGATGGTGATTTGAAAATTTAAAATAAAAAAACAACAACAAAAAACTCTGATACTCCTTGCCGGGTATATTTTGAGCACTGCGCTTCTTTCGCCATCTGTCCTAGAAAGCAAATCTAAGACTCTAAGATATTTTTCCAGAGTTTCCTGATCCCCCTCCCGTGGTGCCTACTCATCAGCAAAGTTAAAGTCATCCACACTGTGGTCATTTTGGAAGATTAGAAAGCACAGTCTTCCTGCTGACTCCTCTGTGCTCCCTCTCCATGCGCAGTTCCCTCGGTCCCTTTCATATGTTTATCAAACCCTCCTGTTTCCACGAAAGCCGAGCCCGAGCCCAGCCGATTAAATGTGTGTATGCCCAGGGCAAGCGTTTTCAGTGAAAGTGGTTTTCAGACCCCAGGTGCTTCTCTGCCTTTACAGTAACAGCTCTCTCTGTGCGCCCATCTCTTCCTCCCTCCCTTACCATCCATCATCTGTCTTGTCAGCCTGGAGTCATAGATAAGTTTACTAATGACACGAAGCCTATTATCAACAAAGTTGCTTCTGTGGCCGAAAATAAAGGACTGTTTGAGGAAGCTGCAAAGCTTTACGACCTTGCCAAGGTACAGTGCGCCCTTCCTCCTTCTGCACTTAATGGGTCTGTGCTGCTGGGCGTTACACGCACAGACATTTGGGGGGGTGGGGTGGGAGTGCTCGCCCCCTACCAAGGCACACTCCCTGGTGCTTAGGCATCTGTGGTCCGATCAGGGTGATAGTCTGCTCTACAGAATTATTTCTGCCCAAGACGTATTTCTGACCAAGAAAGAGTGGTGTATTGTAAGGATGTCCTGCAGGCATTGAGCTGTGGTCTCACTTGGCAGCCGAATAAGCGTCGTCACATTTTGATGGCGAAGCTACTGGTGGAAATGCCTTGGTGCCTACCCTTCGGGCAGCGCAGATACGCGGTGATGGGGGCGCCGTAGGGAGCAGGAGGCAGCTGAGGTATTCCGAGACCAGGAATAAGGGTTTCCACTTCAGAACACACATGGCTGCTGCTGATGGTGTAGCCTAGAAAAGATTATGTCTTCTTTCATCAACAGAAGAGTGGACAAAAAGAAGGTTACACTTCATTTCTTTTTTAATTTAGAGATGTTTTGATTGAGGTCTAATTAAGAGGTAGACCAGTGTGGATGTTAAGTGCGCAGCTTAAAGATGGTTCTGTAGGTGTAACCACCCCCAGATCAAGATCCAGAGCGTGTCCACCACCATCCCAGAACGTCCCCTGTTCTGTGTGGTTACTTAGTGCCTTCTCTTGATTATTTGTTCCTTCCTTACCTTAACACCTGGAACAGAATGCTGATAAGGTGCTGGAGCTGATGAACAAACTGCTGAGCCCCGTTGTGCCCCAGATCAGCGCCCCGCAGTCCAACAAGGAGAGGCTGAAGAACATGGCCCTCTCCATCGCGGAACGGTAAGGCCAACGCCGATGCCATGCCCAGGGCCAGGGCCAGGGCCACAGCCCACCAAATCTGCCAGTAACAGCAGTTCCCAGCGCAGCCCCGACTCCCATTCCAGCAGCTCCTCAGGCTCCTGTTTCCTGGCAGACTTAACGTTCTTCCCAAATAGAAGGGTATGAAAGGGTTTCTCAGCATTTTAATCCCGCACTCTCTACTATTGTCAGCCATCTCAGAGGCGTTTGGGAGCAAAGCTAGTGATGGCCAGACGAGGCGGTTCTTAGAGGGGAGTGGCCAGCGCTTCAGAAGCACCTTCCCCCGGGAGCTAACAGGGTCGTCGGACTGATGACATAACTCCCAGGCTGGGCAGAGCCACCGCTGAGCCTCTGCAGATGCCCCTGACAAAGGGCCCAGAGAGAGCTGAGCTGCGGTGCTTCCTGGGGCAGCACAGGACAACGTTCTTAGCCAATGAGAAACCTCCACTTAGCACTCCACCACCAGGGATGGCCGCTGGGCTTTTGGCCCGTCAGGACCCCCATCCTTCCTGGATATGTGAGTGCAGAGATGGCGGCTGAAGCTAGAGAGCATTACTTCCTGCAAATATTTGCAGGAGGATTCATATCAGATCCACCATCAAAAGCTCGGCCATTTCAAAAAGAAAACCCCATGTTCTACTCCTCAGTTCACCTCATGTAGCGTTCTGGAGGTTCTGACGGTTCTCAGGTGCTGGTTCTCAGGTGCTGTCCTAAAGCTACAGATTGCACGGGAATTCATAATCTGTCCTACCCCTTCTCTCTCTCTTTCTTGCAGGTACAGGGCTCAGGGAGTCAGTGCAAATAAATTTGTGGACTCCACATTCTATCTCCTGCTGGATCTGATTACCTTCTTTGATGAATATCACAGTGGCCACATTGACAGAGCCTTTGACGTGAGTGTCAGGAGGGGTGTTTGAAGTGCAGGTTAATACACACCCTTGGAAAATTCAGATCATTCATGGGAGTCGCTGAGAACTGAGGAAGTCTCACCAGTCTGCCTGAAGGACAAGTGTGAAACCGGAAATTTCAAGGGGATTTCAGTGTTGCTTTTGCTTCCTTTTTCTTTTTTCTATTCCTTTCCCCTTTAGTCTGAAAACAGAGAGCTCTCAGAGGAATTTGAAATCTGAGTTTTAAAATGGCCTCAGGCGGTGAGGACAGGAATGAAGTTAGTCAGCAAGTTGGAAGCAAAGCCTCTGGGCGTGAGGGGTGGCCCGTGGTGAGCGTGCTGGATGCTGTGTTTCAGGAGCTGACACGGCGGTGATGCGTGTGTCATACGGGCTGGTGGGTTTTGTTTTAAACAGATCATTGATCGCTTGAAGCTGGTGCCCCTGAATCAGGACAGCGTGGAGGAGAGAGTGGCCGCCTTCAGGAACTTCAGTGACGAGGTGAGGCCTCTCGCTGAGCCTGCCTTCTGCCCCCACTACCCCAGAGCTGTCCTTTCCGTGTAGCTAGTGACTAAGTCTGAGGACGTCAGCGCCCAGACTGGGTTTTCTGAGAGGAGCTCAGCTTCCTGTATCCTGGCTGGTTTTTCTGTGAGTACATGTCTCCTTCAGATTAGTTTCTGACTCAGAAAACACAGTCATGTCAGTGATCAGACATGTTCTTGGGAGAAACGGGTCTGGTTGACCCTGTGAGGTCTGGAGTAGTTCTGTCACCCACTTGTTCTAGAAGGTGTGTTGGTGCTGCTCTGGGATCCTCTCTAAGTAGTTCCATTGGGTGCATAGCACATGCATCGCGGCCCACTTCCTCCTGGCCTCTCGGACCTGTTTGGTCTTGAGAAGCAGGTGCAGCGGCCATGGACCAGTTCTCGGCCTTGGAGCCCCGGAGCCACCGTCTCTGCAGTGTTTCTAGCACATTGCCACCATCTAGCCCAGGGCACTCGGCTCCTCTGCACGCTGGAACTGCTAGGAGAGCTTTGAAAGTCTTCATGCCCGGGCCCTGCGACCAGTTCTCAGCCTTGGAGCCCCGGAGCCACCGTCTCTAGCACATTGCCACCATCTTGCCCAGGGCACTCGGCTCCTCTGCACGCTGGAACTGCTAGGAGAGCTTTGAAAGTCTTCATGCCCGGGCCCTGTGCCCAGAAAGTCCAGTTCCCCTGGTCTAGGCTGCGGCCCAGAACTCCCCTCATTCCGTGTGCAGCTGGGTCAGGAGTCTTCTCTAGAGCTGCCTGTCCCGGTGTCACTAATAGCTTCCACTAGAGCTGGTACTCAGTAACAATCCCTCTTATAAAATAGCTTCTGCTGCAGAGCAAGGAGGGCTGGCTTCTCACGTGTGGTGGGCGGCTGCCTGCTGTGGTCCACACAGCTTAGGTCTTGCCGCTCACAGCCTTCCCTTCATTACTGCTGTCATTCTCCCCCTCCTCCCAAGCCACTTGGTCTTTGTTGTTTCTTGCCTTCTCTGGATGCATTGTTTATTGTGTCCTGGGTGACGTAGTGCACCAGCGTCTGCCTCTCTAGATGCTCCCAAGGGCTCTGCTAGGGCTGAGGGTCCGAAGAGACGGTCTGATGAGTCTGAGACAGGAGCGTCCCGCCTCTGACAATCCAACCCACACTTTCCTTGGGGATCACGCCGCCGGCCAGTCCAAGCTCACACTCTGGTCATATGTGCTCAGCCTGCTTTGGCTCCCTGCCTGCCCAGGAACCGGGGCATAAAGGAGGCCACAGGAGGGACCTACCTTCTGAGCAGCGCCAACTGGGCTTCGCTCTCACACTTGGCATTTCAGTGCCGTGGGCTGCCTATTGGTGACTCGCTCTCCACCCGGCAGCTGAGGGCATGCGTGTGCCCAGGCCTGCTCGGAGGCCCGCTCCCGTTGCTGGCCCTGGCTGGGTTCCTCTCCTGACTTCCTGTGTTTCTCTGCAGATTAGGCACAACCTCTCAGAAGTGCTTCTCGCCACCATGAACATCCTGTTCACACAGTTTAAGCGGCTCAAGGGGACGAGTCCCTCCTCGGCTTCCAGGCCCCAGCGCGTCATCGAGGACCACGACTCCGTAAGACCCCCGCGTGGGCCAGAGCCATGGCGGAGAGCCGCCTTTCTGGTTTGCCGCCCATCGTGCCGCATGAGCCCAGCTGCCCTTCCCCCATTCCACCCGGCAGCCGGGCAAACCTGGGTGCACCGGGTCAGGTGGCTCCAGGAAGAAGTCACATGTCAATGGGATGGCTGTTCTTCCCCAGCTAAAAACAGACAGACAGATAAACAAAAAAGTGTGTCAAGCACTTAATGTCAGGAAGGAAGGAGTGGGAGGAAGGAAAGGGAAGAGGGAGAGAGGACTAGAGCTGGCCTGGGGCTGCATTGTCTCTGCTCCCCAGGGAAGCAGCAGGCACCAGCCAGGGGAGAGGCCGGGCCAGTGGAGCAGGGTCTACAGCCAGGCCTGTGTCCCAGCTGTCACCTGTCAGGCCCAACTGGCCTTGGCTTAGGAGAGCTTGGAGCTGGGCCCTGGGACGGGCTGTGCTAACTCTGTACCTTGCGGAAGAACATGACTGTCTCTCCTCCCCTCCCCCCCCCCCCCCCCCCGAACCTGCCCCTGGTACCAGCGGGTAGAAAATGATAGATCCTGCTGGCAGTCCCGGCGCAGCACCCCAACTTAAAGGTAACGGCTTTCTCGTCTTCTCTTTCTCAGCAACTCCGAAGTCAAGCCCGGGCCCTCATTACCTTTGCTGGGATGATTCCCTACCGCACGTCCGGGGACACCAACGCCAGGCTGGTGCAGATGGAGGTCCTCATGAACTGAGCGCGGGCTCTGCAGGCCCCGGACACACGCTGTCAGTACCTCGGGCGCGTGGGCCACGGGGTGGGTTTCTGGTTTTGTTTCTGTTGTGTTTTGTTTTGTTTTTTGTATTATGTATTTTTTGTCAACACCAATAAATTTCTTTGATTTGTATTTCTTTTCACATTCTTTTCTTTTTTTTCCTTTGAAATTTTGTTTAGATTTTTATTTGTGTGAGAGATGTCTTCAGTAGTTCCTGGGCCGGAGAACGGCAGGCTTTTGTAGCCATAGGTGTCTGTGATTTGGGTCAGGTCGACCTGAAATGATAAAAAATTAACCCAACATGAGCAAGGAAGTGAAGGCTTTGGCCGTTACTGTTATTTAGATATAGTATTTCATATAATGGGGTCACGGTTCGCTTTTCACATTTCTCTTTGGGAAAGCAGCCTCGCCTTTGGGGGAGTTGAGATCAGGGATCATCAGGCACTCCAGGTCCCCTCTCTTCTCAGGTGGCCTTGGGGTCCAGGTGACCTAAGACCACCCTCCAGAGAGTTCGCTCCGATTCCAGGATTCACTGCAGGCTGTTCTCATGCAGTCCCACTGGAGGTGGCCTTGTGCTCCCCTTGGAGGACTCTGAGCCCCTTATTCCCTTCTCTGGTGGTCAGTGAAGCCAATTGGCTGGGCACGTTCATAGTCCTATCAGGCATTGTCACTGGGCATGTGGTCCCTGAGCGGAGGTTGCCCCTCAGCAGTGGCCTTCTCCCACCCCAGTCCCAGGCTTGGGCAATACCTCGGAGGGAATGGGACCGTGCTTGCTCCTTCGTGGGCGGCTGGTCTAGAGAAGTGGAGAGACAGGCTGAGGGTGCAGGGCTTCTGGTCCCCAAGGTGACGCTGTGAGCCCAGAGGCATGATCCTGTAGCAGGCTATTAGCTTCATCATCATCCGAAGCTCACCCGTTTGGGGAACTAAATCTTGTCCCTTGACATTGGTCCACGATTTTACCTTTTACCCAGAGAAACCTAGACCGCGGCCCCGAGAGATCTTCATCCTCCAGGGAGGAGTCCAGTCCGCCCCGTGGAATCGGGGCGCATGGAGACAGGGTTCCCACCGGCCTCAGAGACACCCAGGGAGGCACTGTCTGGAGCTGGTCCTTTTCAGAGGCCTGGAGATTTGATTTTAAGGAATCTGTTCCTTTGATTTTTTATTTTTTTAATGAAACCAGTATGGCTGCCTCACTTCAAAGAGGAAACTGCAGTGAGCACTTTCTGGGCCAATCCTTTGGCTTTGTCATTCAGAGAGCCCGAGTGCCCTTCACACTGTGGCTGGGAGCGGGCCCTGGCCCTGCCCCCCAAATGTGCCCTCTAATTAGAGACTTCAGAGCCGTGCCGCAGCCACTGCAGTCACTCCTCTGATGCAGCATTTAAATTCTCAAGCGTGGCTTACTGTGAGCACAGTGCTCTGGACTCCTTCCCACAGGAGCCAGCATTTGTGGATTTTTTTTTTTTTTTTAATCAGAGGACTGTTTGCTCTTTGCATTCTCACCCCTGCCTGTTCTATTTGAGTAAACTGATCAAACCCGTAATACTAAACTTAGCAATTACCTGCAGATGTGCAGTGCCCTGCTGCTTTAGACTGAATTCCACAATCGTGTTTCTCCACGAGGCATCCCTTACTAGGTAGTTCATATCGCCCCAAACTCTCATCCTGCCACCCAGGAAGTGACGAGCATGCTGGGTGCTGACTAAACCCCAGGCTGCGGCTGGCAGGCCCCCCACAGATGGGACTCATGCTAGTCAGCGACGGAGGTTGCACCCTGTGTCCAGCAAGCCAGGAGGCTTTCCTTAGGAAATTTCTAACGAGCGTGCAACTTATGCTATTACTCAACCAGTAAAATACAGCTTTTATGCCTACACTTCAGGACTGTCAGAAAGAGGTCAGCAAAATGAGGCTTTTTTTGGGTCCTGAATGTCCCCCATCCTTCATCCTCCTGAGCTGAATGCAGAAGCCCTGGGCCTCCAGCAGTCTCCTGACTGGCAGTGCTCTAGTACCTCACACAGATGGGGAGGCGCGGGCAGGCAGCCTGTCTTCTTGCCACTCGTTTCTCAGTGCACAGGTGGGTAGGAAAAAGCTGAAAACCACCTACTAAAACATTTTGAAAAGAAGTGTCAGATGATCTGCCCTCCTCTTTGCCTTGCTCTGCATCTACCTGCTGTGCTTGGTGGCTGGCCAGGGCCTGGCTGCCCAGGCCCCGCTGGTGTGCCAGCCCAAGTTCAGTTTGGCTGCTGCACAGCCCAGGGCAGTAGCTGGGGATGGCCAGGTCCCCAGGTCCCCGCCCCAGAGTTGGGTATAAGTCAAAAAAAGTGGGCTTCTAGTCCTCTTCTCCCGGGATCGCCTACGTGGAAGTGCTGGTGGTGCCACATTGCTAAGGAGAATTAGAATTTTCTGTCCTAACTTTGATTTTTGAAATAGCTTTTGACTAGCCCACAGTGGACGTTCAGCCAATGATTGAATGAGCAGGTTCTTTGCTTTGGCCTGTGCCAGCCACTCCACGCCCTCTGTTCCAGCTCCCCACACCCTCTGATCCAGCTCCATGCGTAGATTCAGACTCTCAGCCCGGGCTCCTTAAGAGGCACGTGTGTGAAGGGAGGAGGGGAGGAGTGTCTCTTGGGGTCCCTAAAACAGGGCAGGTTCTTGCAAGAAGGAAACTTAGAGAGCTGCACCATCTGCAGGGAGATGACGCGAGGAACGGGTGGAAACGTCGTTCACTGTGATAAAGACCAGATCTTTAAAAAACTGGGTGCAAGGAGGGCTGGTGGAAGGCCAACATTGCCCGGGCATCCTCTGTCCCCCCGTGGCCTGTGCCCTCGGGTCCTTTGAGAGTGTGTTTCTCGGGGATCAGGAGGGAAAAGAGTTTGCTTCAGAGGAGGAAGTTGGGGAGCCAGTGATCCCCTCGGAGGCTTCTAGCAGAGAAACACACACCCAAGCCCCTTTGGTGGCCCCAGCAGAACAGGTGACACTCAGGGCTGCAGCGAAGGCTCCATCTGGGCCAGATGCAGCAAATCAAAATATAGGACAGGACCCCTAACCAGTTTGGCTCAGTGGATAGAGCATCGGCCTGCAGATTGAAGGGTCCCAGGTACCATTCCGGTCAAGGACATGTCCCTTGGTTGTGGGCACATCCCCAGTAGGGAGTGTGCAAGAGTCAGCTGATCAATGTTTCCTGCTCATCGATGTTTCTAATTCACTATCCCTCTCCCTTCCTCTCTGTAAAAAAATCAATAAAATATTATATATATATATATATATATATATATATATATATATATATATATATGACATGAGATAAATGGGACCTTAAGATAAACCACGAGTGAGTTCCCCGGATGAGCATATCTCCGTTTTACCTGGCTACCCAGTGCAGCCTGCCTCCGCTGGTGCTGGCTGCCAGCCACTTCAGACGTGGTCCCAGCTGCGAGGGGCTGTCCGGCTGCATCAGATCACCCTGGTTTGTGAAAATGACAGAGAGATGGGCAGTCACTCAGGAGAGGGCAGCACCTGGGACTCGGGTCAAAGAGCCAGGTGGCCCCAGCCGGCCTCGGTTGCTGTCATCTCCCAGTTTTTTGTTTTTTGTTTTTCCATCAGGAATTTCTAATGTGCCAAGTCCAGCCTCCTCCCCTTTGATCAGTAACTTTTATTAGGAACGCAGTGGGAGCATTCGTTGCTTTAGTCAGTTGCCCGGTTATTTTCTTCATGTCGTTGCTTTTCTGACCTTGTCGCTCCATGTGGTGTTTGTGGGGAGCAGGGACGGTGTGGGAGGGAGGGGGAAAGGAGAGTCGGTGTACGCGTCTGCCTGTTCCTTTCTGCACAGTAACTTCTGCATTTACTCTGTTTAGGATGCTTCCTTCACCAGCATCCCTGTCTGTAGCCAGTAAATTTCTGGAACGTTCTCCCCAAGTGCCATGCGCCCCTTTGTTCAGTCCTTCCGTGGAGCAGAAACCTCTCGGGCCTCCTCTCCTGGGAAGGCCCTTGGCACAGCCCAGGGCTCCTCGAGGGCAGCAGATGTGCCTCTTCCCCGCCTCGGGTGCCTGTGCCAGGCCCCTCCTCCGCTCCCTGCAAGGAAGGCGCAGGCCTGCCCGTGCCCGGGTCTGCGAAGTGCCCACGGGTCTCTGTAAGTACAGGGTTCCCAACCCGGCCCCCAAGGCTTGCTCTGCCCCCAGCAGCCTGGAATGCAGCCCCCTGAGGAGGGTCTGGGAGCGCCAGGCCCAGCTGGAGGGCGGTGGAGCATTTTGGCGGTAACCCAGCATGTGGCATCCACCCCAGGCTGGAGCGGGGTCCCATCTGCGAGCTTGTGTTTTGGACACTCGCTGGAAAGCATCTTATTTTTAAAAGTTTATATCTATTGATTTCAGAGAGGAAGGGAAAGGGGGAGAGAGAGAGAGAGAGAGAGAGAAACATCAATGATGAGAGAGAATCCTGGATTGGCTGCCTCCTCCATGCCCCCTCTTGGGGAGGGATCCTGAAACCCAGCATGTGCCCTAACTGGGACCTCCTGGTTCATAGGTTGATGCTCAACCTCTGAGCCACGCCGGCTGGGTTGGAAAGCCTCTTACATGGAGGTTGAGGGCCAGTTATTTGCCTTCGGGGAGGGAGGCGTGACTGGGGGACTGCTTTGGTCCGGTGGTGGCAGAGACGTGGCCTGATCACAGGACTGATGCCTTTTGCTGTCTTGGACTGTCTCTGCCTGCTTCTGGCCTGTGGAGGCGTCCTCTGGGTCTGGGCATGGGATCCTGCCTGGGGATATGCTGATGGCTGAGCAGGAAGGGGTGTCCATTTTTCTCCCCTGGGGGACCTGGCCCTACTGAGAAGCCTGAGGTGACCAGGTGGCCTGAGTGGGCGGCTGGAAGTGTTTCAGCTCATTCCCTTTGCTCTTCAGTCCTCAGCTGGGGCCCCGGCGAGGCCATTTCCTGGTGAGTCACCTGGGAATTGGGGCCTCCTACGAGTACCTACCCGCTATTGTCTCTTAT